AGGAGATCCGTGAGCTGCAGTCCCAGATCTCAGACACGTCGGTGGTCCTGTCTATGGACAACAGCCGCTCCCTGGACATGGACAGCATCATTGCTGAGGTCCGCGCCCAGTACGAGGAGATCGCCAACCGCAGCCGGGCTGAGGCTGAGAGTGTGTACCTGACCAAGGTGAGGAGCAGGGTCACTAGGCAATCCTGCCCTTCTGGCAAGTTCTGTGCCCTAGACCATGAGGAGGCAGCAGGATTTCAATTGCACCCTGCTGCCAGGTGGGCCCTCAGAGAGTGGGTGCTCTGAGGTCTGGAAGGCGACCTCTCTTGGCGTGTGTGTGTGTGTGTGTGTGTGTGTGTGTGTGTGTGTAGGGGCTCTGGTGACCTGGCAGAGAGGGAACTCTGCCTTGGGGTCCCCTTGAGCCTCACCCCTTTTTGCGCATCTGCAGTACGAAGAGCTGCAGGTGCAGGCTGGGAAGCACGGGGACGACCTGCGGCGCACGAAGACGGAGATCTCCGACATGAACCGGAACATCAGCCGGCTCCAGAATGAGATCGAAGCTCTCAAAGGCCAGGTACGGGCCAAGTTCCTTGGACATGTCTTGGTGAGAGAAGATAATGTAGGAAGGAATGTGAGGGGTCTGAGGTCCTAGGGCTCATGGTTGGAAGGCCAGACTGCTCCTGCCTGGATAGCTGGGGGATGCTGAGCAGGTCTTTGAGGACAGGACAGAGGTGAAAGGGGCTTGAGGCAGGTAGCCTGGGGTTCCAGGATGTGTCTTCTAAGCCTACCTTATACATCAGGTATGTTTGAGCTCCATTGCTTTAAGGAAAGTCTAGAACCCAGAGAGATCTAGTTCAGTTACAGTGGGTGGAGCGTACAGTGACACAGGTGAGAGGTGTGTGGAGGGAGGGGCCTGGAAGCTGCGTGTGCTGGCTCAGTCTCACTGTTAGCACTTTCTTTGAGCTGGGTTGGTGGACTTTAAAGGAGGGGAAAAGGAGGATGAGTGCAGGGGGTGGGGGATGCAACCTCTTACCTGTCCCCTGCCACTGTAGAGGGCTGCCCTGGAGGCCTCCATTGCGGATGCTGAGCAGCGTGGGGAGCTGGCTCTTAAGGATGCCAACGCCAAGCTGGCCCAGCTGGAGGCTGCCCTGCGTCAGGCCAAGCAGGACATGGCTCAGCAGCTGCGTGAATACCAGGATCTGATGAATGTCAAACTGGCCCTGGACGTGGAGATCGCCACCTACCGCAAGCTGCTGGAGGGCGAGGAGAGCCGGTAGGTGTGGGGATCTCTGTGACTAGGCCTGTGGGATGGAGGCTGGATGTTGCCTGTTAACCCCCTGGGGTTTGGGTCTTGTTCTGGGAAAAGAAGGGCTAGGAGTTGGTCCTGATGTCCCATGTGTCTGGATACAGGCTGGAGTCGGGGATGCAGAACATGAGTATCCACACGAAGACCACCAGTGGCTACTCAGGTGAGTGTCCTGGGCCCTGGGGGTGGAAGGCAGAAGGGCAGGGCCCAGAGGAGAATAGGCTCAGGAGAGGGCTGTGCTCAGTACCCTGTGGAAAGGCCTTGACTTGAGCACCGGGCCGTTGAGGAAGTCCTAGGGAAGAAATGAACAGAGTTAGTGGGGATGCACCCATGCCCCAAATAATCTTATTACTAACAGAAAGCACCCAGATAATTGACTGCTGTGTGCCAGGCACCATGCTGTGTGCATCACATGTTTTATTTATTTTTCATTCAATCCCTGTAAATGTCCTCAGCTGAGGGAACTGAGGCCCAGATGAATGACTTGTCCAGGGTCACACAGCTATGTGAGGCTTGCTCTTTCCCACCCTGCTCTTGGTTTCCCTCACAATTCTGGAGGGTGAATCTTGGCCTCTGTGGGGGCTGTGCCTGGGGGGCTGTGCCAGGAGTGAGCAGGGAGGAGGGGTGTGGAGCCTGCAGTGGGGATGGGCTCATGTAGCTGCTTCTGTCTTTGACCAGGTGGCCTGAGCTCGGCCTACGGGGGCCTCACAAGCCCTGGCCTCAGCTATGGTCTGAGCTCCTTCCAGACTGGCTTTGGCTCTGGTGGGGGCTCCAGCTCCTTCAGCCGCACCAGCTCCAGGGCTGTGGTTGTGAAGAAGATTGAGACCCGAGATGGGAAGCTGGTGTCTGAGTCCTCTGATGTCCTGCCCAAGTGAGCTGTACTGTGGCCCCTTCAGTCCACCCTCTCACATGGCTCCCACAGAGCCTGTGGGGGAGACAGCTGTGCCAGGGAGCACATGGAACAGGAGACCCACCTGAGGCTCAGCCCCATCCCTCAGCCCATCTTTTTGGGCAGTTTACCACCTGGGTTACCCCCTCTTACACCCCCAACTAAAAACCAATTTTATTGCTTTTTCCAAAATAAAGCCTCAGCCGCATTGCCAATCACCTTGCTGTGTGTGCATCCCATCTCTACAGGGCAGGAGGGAGGTGGTTGGGAGAGAGATGGTTGGGAAGCCTTTCCCTGGGACTCAGAAGCTGGGAGGGGAGCCCAGGAAGCAGTGGAGGTGCACTGAGCAGGAAGTCTGACCTCCAGGCTTTGTTGAAGTCTGGTTGTCTCCTTGGTTGTTGCTGTGAATGGACGCACCTGTATATCAGCCCCTGACCTATGCACAGTGCTTTGTTATGGCATGCTTTTGAAATACCCAGGTTGGCTCAGCGCCTATAGCTCAACCGGCTAAGGCGCCAGCCACGTACACCTAAGGTGGCGGGTTCGAGTCCCCAGCCCGGACCCGCCAAACAACAATGACGGCTGCAACCAAAAAATAGCCGGGCGTTGTGGCGGGCGCCTGTGGTCCCAGCTACTTGGGAGG